AATTCCTCAGAACACTCCCCGTGATATATGCTGTAGAAAATGCACAGAGATGCAATATCACGCCGCAAAGCCAATGGGTCGAGTCTGTCACATAGACGTCTACATTATAAGTACCAATTTGACGCTTTTATCCAAAAAAGCAGGAGTTTCACTGACAGTTTCTTGGTAACTAAGCATTTTGGTATATAATTTCACTGTATTACCACAGATAACATAGTATTACTATACTATGGTTTGTTTATTTAATAATAGAAATATGACAGGCTTTAAAATTAATAGATTGTGGGGTAGAATCTCCTATTCCACCCCACAATCTTATCATTTATGCATCTCTTTCAGACAACGAAAGTTGATTTATATGTATAATATTATTATTATAGTCTTTATACAAATCGACTTTAAATATATTATTTCCTAAAACAAACATTAAACTTCAAAAACTTAAAAACGATATAATATATTATAGTATAGTATTTTGATCTTATTTGCTTTCTGCAGATCTGTTTGCCAATCGGCAAAGTCTTATAATATAAAAAAGTAGGTTTACATGTATAATACATGTACACCCGTGCGATGTTGGGTCGAGTTGCTAGTCTTATTATTAATATTATAAATGCGAAAGTTTGAGATGTTTGTTACTCTTTCACGCAGAAACTACTGAACGGATTTTGTTGAAACTTTACAGGTCTGTGTGTTATTCTGAAGTATAAGTTATATACTTCAGAATAACACACAGACCGTAAGTTACATGCGGGCGAATCCGTGGGCTCAGCTAGTGTTATATAATTTAAAAAAATATTATCGTAAACAAAAGTTCAAATTCTCTTTTTCAGTAACATTAATCATTCTATAGTGATGTAAAAGGAGGAGGTAATTAATATGTTCACGTCGAGGCGCCGCTATGAGACGCTTTTCGCAGCTTCTCTCTCATTAAGATGCCATTAGTATCCGTGAACATGAAGTTTTGTGGTGTTGGGGCTTGTATCATATTTTAGATGTAAGTATTCGAGAATGTTCTAACATTGTCGATAATACAATGAGAATCTCTTCTTCAGTCGTTCACTCTTGGCAGAGTGGTCGTGGCTTTCATGATGGTATATTTTGTGATATGGTATCGTTGTGGTCCTTGGCGAAAGAGCTCCTTACAATTTGCCTCCACCTGGTAATTATTTCATTTGTACTTATAATAATCTATAACCTCATATTCTAGAATTTTAATATATTTTAAATATGGGTTGATGAATTTATTTTTGAGGAAATGTTTTAATTTTGAAATCAGCTGCGTAATAATTATTTGTTTATAAATTTACTAGCTACTCGCCCCGGCTTCACACGGGTATACATGTATTATACATATAAACCTTCCTCTTGAACCACTCTATGTATTAAAACACCTGCTTTAAAATCTGTTGCGATTTAAGCATACATAGGGACGGACAGACAGCGACAACAACTTTATTTTATACTGTGTAATGATTTATTCCTATCGGTTTACAATCAAAAGGCTGAAAATTTGTGTTATTTCGAAGCACGAAATCGCAGACTCTGCTAGTCTACCACAAACTGTAGGTGTAAAATTTGCACAACAAAAGGCTATAAAGTGGAAACCATTCGGTACAGAAAATCCCAGTAATGAATACCCTCGAACACTGGTCCCATTTGCAAATACTCGTCAGCTTAATCTAGAGCTGCATTTTACGAGAGCTACAGCAATATCTGTCAATGTCCTTATCAATAAATTTGGGACGTTTATGCCCAACGACGTCGTTTGACGGTTTGAGGCGGGCGGTCTAATCCGCGGTCGATGGGACCCCATCTGTGTTGCAAGGGTTAAGTCGCGACAAATAGACCATTTGCAAATAATAAGACGCAATGAAAGAATAAATTAAGGGTACGGTTGGGGTTCGATTTGAACAGTACGGGTTACTTTAACTGAGTTAAGTTTTAATCAAATTAACAATGTTTTTTTGGAATTTAATTTATAGCAGGATGTATACTCGCTGTTGAGTATGACTTCGTCTGCATAGACAAAATAAAAAAAAAAAAAATTCAATTGAGTTTCTTGCCAGTTCTTCTCAATTGGATCTATATACCGAACTGGACGGTAGGGAAAAAATAAAATTATAATGTAAAAATTTGACGTTCATAAGCGGCTAAAATGTCCTACATGAATAAATGATTTTTGAATTTTGAATTTTTGAATTTTGAAATAGACTGTGTAAATTGTCCTGAGACATTATTATTATTATCACGTATAGAAATTTCTTCGTTCTTCTGAATATCAAACGTGTTTAAAATCCATTGTAATCAATTGTCTATACATATATAACTCAAAGGTGACTGACATAGTGATCTATTAAAGCACAGCCCAAACCACTGGACGGATCGGGCTCAAATTTGGCATGCAGGTAGATGTTATCACGTAGGCATCCGCTAAAAAAAGGTTTTGATTAATTCTACCCCCAAGGGAATAAAATAGGGGATGAAAGTTTATATGAAACTTTGTCAAATTTAAACCGATCGGGCTGAGACTTTGCATGCATAAAGCTACTATAACGTAGGCATCCCCTAAGAAAGGATTTTGATGAATTCCACCCCTAAGATGATAAATTAACGTGAGCGAAGCCGCAGGCAAAAGCTAGTAACCAATAAAATTTATGATTATGCTGTTTTAGACATTGATTCTTAATTCCAGTTAGATTACATATATTCCATACTTAGATTACATATTATATTATATTATATCATATTACATTATCAATATTTTTTATACTATAATGGTCGCAAATAAGCATATGGTTCTTCTAATGGTAAATGGTAACCCGTTACCCCTTGATTGTATTGTTTACAATTTTTATTAAAACCTTATTAAATATTAATTCACATCCTCAGCAATATACACCTCTATGGCGTAGCCTATAGCCTATCCTAAACCCCTCCACACGTCCTCTACCAGTCCACTCTAACTTCCTGTGCAAATACATCCCTCCATCGTCTTTCAGGTCGTCCGTGTTTCCGTATGTGTACCATTGGTATTCACTCTATTACTCGTTTAGTTCATCTTTTATAGTTCATTTTTTTTTAAAAAAAAAATGTTATGACTATTCAAAAGTCATTCAATGTAAGTTTATTTGAATAAATGATTTTCTATTCTATTCTATTCTATTCTATTTTTCCATTCATCAAATGTGTCCTGCCCACTGCTATTTCAGTTGTTTTATCAATATATTAATTTTGTTGACAGCCTCAGTAGTTTAGCGGTTTAGCACACCGCTTTACTTCCGATAGTCGCGGGTTTGATTCCTCGCACGGTGCAAATATTCAAGAGTATGATTGTTTATATCGGTCTGGCTATTGTCTATGTATATTACGTATATATTTACAAAAAAAAGTAAGTAAGTATTATCAGTTGACTAGTACCCATAACACAAGCTCTGATTACCATGGGACTACATGTCGCTGTGTAAATTGTCCAGGGTTGTTTATTATTATTATTCTCTTTCTTATAAATTTAATGTATATGTATATGCAATTATAAATCACTAAATAAATTAATTAATAACTTACGTGTTGCTAGTAATGATATTTTTTTTTTATAACATCATGGATAAACGAGCATGCGGCTCACCTGATGGTAAGTGATTACCGCCACCCATGAACACCCGCAACAGCAGAGGAATTGTAAGTACGTTGTCGGCCTTTTAAAAAGGAATAAGCTCTTTTCTTGAAGGTTTCAATATCGTATCGGTTCGGAAATACCATTGCTGGAAGGTGATTGTGCGAGGCGAAAAGTTTCTAGAAAACCGCACTGTGGAAGACCGCCATTTAATAAAAATAAATCGCAAACTCAAATCTACTCGTGCCATTTAACACCGAATGCAATTAACAGTAACAATTATGAGTCTTCATAAATCACTGTGCTGGCCACCCCGTCGGGAAAATGTCTTAAGATGCGCCTTACGAACGTCAATTAATATACATGGCGCCTACATCCGGTCTGAGATGACGACAGTTCCGGTTCAGCGATGGGCGGGAGCATCCGGTCTTTGTTAAACTTGTTAACAAGTACCTATTCTCTCTTTATATATACATACTTACAGTTATAACTAGTTAATGAAAAGTAAGTTAAGTTTATAATTCTGTTATTGTACAAATTTGTTTTTATTCCCTTATAGATAGATAGATAGATAGAAATATATTTATTTCTATCGCGTTTGATTTCATAGATTTAATCATTTTTAGTATGATATTTGGTTCCACTAATTTGAATTTAAACACAGAGGAATTGAAACGATTTAAAGCAAAGTGTATGGCGGCGCGGGTGAAATAAATATTGTTTGATTTTGATTTAAGTGGACTGTATCTAAATAATCTGACGGGTACGTGGATTGACACGATACACTGTTAGGTTGGTGATTGAGAACTGCTTGTGAGGATGGAACACAAAGAAAGACAGTTCTGGTAAGGAAGGAGGCACAGTACCTTTGAATTGTAGGTTGCAGTGCGGCGGCTATCGGTGTCTCCAGGTCCCAGCTACTTGCTTCACAACAATGGCACAAACACAATGGTCTTAAACACACTAGAGCGATGCGGTGGATTAAAATGTTTAGTAATTATCACGAATTACAAAAAAACTTGATCTTAAGCGCGATCAAGGCGGGAATTCAATGTCAACTTCAGCGTTCAATTTTACAGTGACGCGCGAGCGCGATATGTCACTTTCGATACAAGCGAATCTTCTCGCTCGCACTTAAAACAAAGGTATGTGCGGGAATAGGAGAGGATAAAAATTAGTGTAGTGCCAATCCTTAGAAAATTAACGTTTCGTACCACGCTAAATTATTTATTTGAACAAACTATTACTAATAATAATTATACAATGATAAACAAAAATATAATGTTATATGGCGCAACCATTTGTTTTTGAAGGGACGCCTTCAAAGTAAAAATAGAAACTTAACATAAACTACACCTTAACCTAGAACTCGTATTAACTAAAACTAATGTCTAGGTAAGGGGCACAGACGTACAACAGGGCGCAAATAAGAGCCGGTTGCAGTTTTTACACGAACAACTCGAATTACGCCGTCAGAAGCCGGAAAGACCTCTTCAATAACCCCTAAAGGCCAATGAAGTGGTGGCGCGTTTTCAGTACGTACAATTACAACAGTTCCGACAGTAATCTGATTGACGGGTGTATTCCATTTTTCGCGAGATTGTAATGTGTGCAGGTACTCCGCACTCCATCGCTTCCAGAACGTTTGCACTAATCTGTCTAATAATGCGTGGCGTGAAATCAAAGAACTGTCAGCTATTTCTGCGGCGGGCAAATATTTCAACGGAGTAAAATTTAAAATATGTGCGGGTGTTAATAATTTTGCGAAACGACAGATATAAACTACGCAGCGAAGAAGCTTGGACCAAGAAGAAAAGCGATTTGCCAGAGCGATGAAAACAGATTCTTCTGGCGGTGTACGAGTAACAAAGGAGAGTTTCTTCTCCTCAGGCGGGTCCATAACAGCAGAAGGATTGAAAGCGGTGACTGGCCATTCCGAAAAGGTGGATTTAGCCCACTGCGGGCCGTTGAACCATAGGGGGTAGTGAATTATTTGGGCAGGAGTAAGCCCTCGCGATAGACAGTCGGCTGGATTGTCCGAACCAGACACGTGATAAAAATTATGCGGTGAAAGCAGAGATTGAATTTTAGAAACTCTATTCGCGACAAAAGTATCCCACCTGTGGGGCGATGCGTGGATCCAACATAAAGCAACTGTTGAATCAGAAAATGCGTGTATTGCCTTAATTGGATAGCGGTTGTTAACAGCGGTAACAATATTTTTAATTAAATTAGCGAGCAAAAGCGCTGCGCAAAGTTCGAGTCGGGCCAACGACACGACTTTGCGGGGTGCAACCTTAGATTTTGCACTTATAAGATGCACAGTACTCACACCATCATTCTCGACGTGGAAGTACACAACAGCACCATAAGCCTTTTCACTAGCGTCTGCGAAGCCAATGATGTTCACCACACTGCGTTTTGTGATGTCAACATGGCGCGGTAATTTAATTTGATCTAGACTGGGGAGCTCATCCCTGAAACGTGACCATTGTCTGACGATAACTTCAGGGGGGCGTCGTCCCAATCGCAGTTGCATAACCATAACTCTTTGACAAGAAGTTTGGCAAATAATATAACGGGTGCTACGAAACCCATTACATCCCACAATCTTGCGACACAAGATAAAATGGTGCGTTTTGTACACTTTTCAGCGGGCGTGCAAATTTTTAAACTAAATAAATCTGAGCTAGGAGACCAGCACAGACCCAGAATTTTATGCGTATCAGACACGTCGAATTCTACGACCGACGAAAGTCGATGTGTTGACGGAATGGAATTTAAAACTACTTGCGAATTGCTCGTCCATTTGACAAGATCAAATTGTCCGGCCTTCATGAGTGAGATGATCTCAGCAGCTGTGACGATAGCCTCATCTTCACTATCTAGACAATATACTAAATCATCCATGTACAGACCGGTGTGAACCGCTTCCTTAGCTTTTGGGAACGATTCGCCTTCGTCGGTGGCTAACTGCTTAATAGTACGCAGTGCAAGAAACGGACTCGATTTGAGTCCAAAACAAACGCGATTAAACTGATAAACCTGGAGAGGTTCGTCAGGCGAAAATCTATACAATATGCGTTGAAATCTGCGGTCACTCTCTCTAATACGAATGCAAAGAAACATTTGCCTAATATCGGCAGAGAGAGCTACTGAAAATAATCTGAAGTTAACTATAATATCAAATAAATTGCGTTGTAAATTCTGTCCATTATAAAGAAGATCGTTGAGAGATACGGACGTGCTAGTTTTAGCGCTAGCATTGAGTACGACGCGCAATTTAGACGTGAGTTTATCTTTTCGAATAACTCCATGGTGCGGTATTATATACGAAGGAGCATTACTATCATCATTAACGGGTGCGGGTGAAATATAACTCTTATCTAAATACTCCGTAATGACGTCATCATAGGCTTGCTTGAGTTCAGGCGAAGCCTGCATTTTGCGTTCGAGACAAAAGAAACATTTCTCGGCTAATCGACGCGAGTCGCCAAGAGAATGTGCATTACCCTTGAAGGGAAGCGCGACGGTATAACGACCGTCGTCCTCGCGAGTGGTAGTGCCAGCATAAATAGCTTCACACTCCTTGTCGTCCGGGCTGAGAATCGGTGTAACATTCACCTCTTCCATTTCCCAGAATCTACATAGAACGGATTCCATCGTGGGTTCGGTAACACAACAATGCGCGGTGGTAGTGTAATTACAATTATCTAACATATTAGACACGGAAGTATCGGTATTTGATCTAGCGGGAGCTGAACCTACAATAACAAAGCCTAATACGGTCTCAATAGCATACGGCGAGACGTATGCGGGTTGACCTTTAACCTTACGGGACAATATTAAATGCGGGAAAATTGAGGCACCGATTAACATGTCAATGTTCCCAGGAGTAGCGTAACTATCATCGGCTAAAGGCAAATTTTTAAAATTTGAAAATAATGAAATATCGACACTAACAGTCGGTAAACGTTCGGTTATTTTATCTACAACTAAGGATTCCATATCAAATTTAATATTACGATTAAACCGTGAAAAGAATTTTATATGTACAGAACCCTGTGTGGCCTTTGTTGTCCCTCCTATACCTTTAATCGAAAAGGTTGTATTCTGTATACATTGCAATCCCAAGCGATTACAACAATCCCTAGTTACAAAATTACTTTGAGAAGCACTGTCCAATAATGCTCTAATATAATGTTCGTTACCGTCTCTATCGATCATTAAAACACGAGCGGTGGCTAACAATACGGTAGTAGGTACGCGAGGCATATTTTTATTAACATTGTCTGATAACGTGCATAATGCTACGTCTTCCGATGCGCGGGATACGACGGGTGTCGGCGGGGGTGAGTGCGGGGCGCGGTCCGTGCAAGGAGCCGGTCGGCCGCCGCCGCCGCCACCAACAGCGGGCTGCGTGTGCGACGAGTGCGACGATAGATCCACTGCGCGTGACGTAGTCGCTGTGACCGAACTACCACTGAGTATGTTCGCGGTGGAGGTGGCATTACTATGCTCAAAGTGGAGCATAGTATGATGTTTTGAGTCACATTTGTGACATCGACTATTTGAGTTACAATTAAATACACGGTGATTTTTACTTAGACAATTAATACAGTAAGAATTAGATTTAACAAATCGGAAACGATCATTAGGCGTTAAATTTCGAAAACCTGGACATTTATATAAATGTTCATGTTGTATGTTACACAATGAGCACTTAGGCTGCGGATTAGCGGTTGTAGTATAAGAGTATGTAGATTTATGTTGCATAACTTTCGATGCCGCATCCATACGACGATCGACAACTTTCTTAGTAACTTCTTGGTTGCTTGAAGAAGTGCGTTGCAATATTCTAATGTGATCGCGCACAAATGACACTAATGTATCGAAAGATGGGATGTCGGATCCCCGTTTATCTAGTTCGAAAGCGCGGGCGGTTTCGGAATCTAATTTCTTTAACGCTGTATACAAAAATATAAAATCCGAAAGATTATTAATTTTTAAGTTATTTAACGCGGATACTGAAGTTGCGAATTTATCGAGAAATTGTTCTAAATTATTTATATTTGATGAATGAAAGGGCTTCATTTCGAATATTTGATCTAGGTATGATGATGCGAGCAATCTCTTATCTTCATACTTACTAATTAAAGCATCTAAAATGACCTTATAATTTTCAGAACAAGGGTTTATACCGGCAAATACAGAACGAGCTTTACCTGTCAGTTTACCCATCAAATAATGTAATTTTTTTCCGAATCTGACAATCTAGGATTGTCATGAACTATGCTTTTGTAAGCTGTATAGAATAAAGACCAGGATCTCAGATCTCCTGAGTATTCCGGAATTGGTAGGGGGCAGACGAGGCCTGTCCTCATCCCTATTATGCTGATGATGTTTGACATCAGGCGGTACCTCTAGCGATCTTGCGGCTCGTTTTATACGGCAATACAAATCATCAAATGCCATGAGCGGTTGATAATTAATAACATATTTAGGATTCAATTTAGATTCTAAAGTATTTATTTTATCTAACATAGTTTCGAAATCCGAGCGTAATTTGTCAACTGTTTCGATCTCACACAAGAATGTTTCTCTTTCATATTCACTAGAAAGATTATGAGTCCTATCTGTAATACTTTGTATGCGAGAAAACATTAAATCCTTTTTAGCGAGTAACAGGGGTAACTGATTGACATCCGACATGATGAACAACCTATAAATACAAAAACTTGTTTGTACTAATAAATATATAAGAAAGCGGTGCGGTGGAGAACAGATAAATACCTACACAAGTTACGTGCGGTGCGGTGCAATGCGGTGCGATGCGGGCAACGAGAGCCGGCAGTACACAATGTACTTACAATTAAAATACGAAATAATAAACCACAACGTACTCGTGATAGGAATCTGTCAAATATTTATATTAAACAAAGCGATGTCTGTTTATTACAGCGTAAGCAATGTCTTGTTTATTACAGCGAACTAAATTCAAAGTCTATGCCGCTAACCTATTCAATAGTAGACCGGTAGAAAGCGATAATATTAAGCTATAATATCGTATGCGTCTCAGCCTACCCTAAGGGGGCCTGAGGATATCAATATGTAGGTAGATAGACTACCTACAATGGCGCGAAAGTAATTGATAACTACGAATATAAATGCGGTGACTACAAAAATAAAGTTGTTTTACCTATAGTTAGGTTAAAACAATGCGGGAGTATTACAACAAATCGTAAATACCTACTATTACTTACGATGCGAAATTGAGTTGACACGGAATTTGATATGAATCTATCAGGTAGTTGTACCTACATGTACCTACGAGATTCTAGAAACATCGATATAACGAAATAAAGAAAATGAGGTAGTAAAATACAAATTAATTGTATGCGTTTGTACGAAATATACATAGAAATAAAATATCTAGTGTGGTTTAACCAAATAATTACAATATTCGGCTCGAAATGGACCACTAAAATAATGGCGGCGCGGGTGAAATAAATATTGTTTGATTTTGATTTAAGTGGACTGTATCTAAATAATCTGACGGGTACGTGGATTGACACGATACACTGTTAGGTTGGTGATTGAGAACTGCTTGTGAGGATGGAACACAAAGAAAGACAGTTCTGGTAAGGAAGGAGGCACAGTACCTTTGAATTGTAGGTTGCAGTGCGGCGGCTATCGGTGTCTCCAGGTCCCAGCTACTTGCTTCACAACAATGGCACAAACACAATGGTCTTAAACACACTAGAGCGATGCGGTGGATTAAAATGTTTAGTAATTATCACGAATTACAAAAAAAAACTTGATCTTAAGCGCGATCAAGGCGGGAATTCAATGTCAACTTCAGCGTTCAATTTAACAGTGACGCGCGAGCGCGATATGTCACTTTCGATACAAGCGAATCTTCTCGCTCGCACTTAAAACAAAGGTATGTGCGGGAATAGGAGAGGATAAGGAATTAGTGTAGTGCCAATCCTTAGAAAATTAACGTTTCGTACCACGCTAAATTATTTATTTGAACAAACTATTACTAATAATAATTATACAATGATAAACAAAAATATAATGTTATATGGCGCAACCAGTGTAATAAATCAGAAATATCAGGAACATTATTATTAGGTAGGTCAAGAAAAAAGGCATTTATGGCATCTGGATCACGTAAATGAGGTGGCAGTTCTTTTTGTTACTAATCACACACAACATGTTTATAAGAATAGACAATACACAATACAACATAAGATTTATAAAATTGTGTTATTATGTGTGATCTGTAGCAATACACAAAGGTCGAAGCTCAGCGTGGAACATTGTTCAAGGAACAAAACACTGATTTTCAGCTTTAACCCATTTGAGGGTACGTGAAAATAATAATTAAAATAAATATAAAATAAAAAGAGCAATATTGGTGTCTGTCTGTGCGGTGTGTGTATAATAAAAATAATGTAAATAATGAAATACTAATATACCCTTCTTGACAATAGAACAAATTAATTAATTAATTTTAAAATAGTCCTTCATACACGGCATCTATATTATTATACAATAAAAATAAAGTAGATGTAAAAAAACAATTAAGTTTCTTGCCAGTTCATCTCAATTGAATCTGTATACTGAACTGGATGGTGGGAAAATATATAAAATTTACGTTTATAAGCGGCTAAAATAATTATTTTATTTTCATTAGTATTGATTTAAATAGATAAGACGTATAGCATATATTTCGCAAGTAAGGAAATAAATGCACACCCATCATCCGCCCCACGACTTACCGACGCAACACATCATTAATCTCTGATGTATGTGACATTTAATTACCTAAAACACCATATATTAAGCATTCTTCCTGTCCTCACCCTATATCAGATAGCACTACTTTGCAAATAAATATGTTGAGATATTAAACTTTACTGCCGTTGAATTAGAGTTCAAGATGAGGGTATTGTTGGTCCAGTAATTAATGTTGTCTTATTGCTTCACGCCTAAGATTTTATTGCTTCTCTCTTCTGTAATGTGTGCATTCGGTTTTCTTGAATGATTATGTAATAAAATATCTATTTATCTATTCATGTGACGGCCTCTATGGTTTAGTGGTTTACACCGTCTTACTTACGATGATCGTAGTTCGATTCCCTGTACGGTACAAATATTTGTATTCGTGAATATGATTTTTTGTATCGGTCTAAGTATTTTCTTTTACAAACAAAAATATTTACGTATTTATGTCAGTTGTCAAAAAATCAGAGAGACATATGCTCGATGGTAGGGGTACCCCATAAAGCATAAGCAGAATAAGAAAGAAGAAAAGCAATAGGTGTTGTTTGTTTGTTTTAGACATAGACACCTACATAAGTACACAATGTAAATAAACTGGCTTTAAAAAAAATCAATTGAGTATTTTACAGAGTATATTGCCAGTTTTTCTGAATGAAATATATTTACTAAAGTTACCATTACCGTCTAACTTAGCAAAAAGCTTATGTAGGACATTTTATACGTTCATAAACGGCTAAAATGCCCTACATACCGTTCATAATCGGGCTAAAATGGCCTATATGTACATGAGTAAATATTTTTTTTATATGAGTAATGATGATTTTTACAATGGTAATATAACGAAATTATATTCGCATTGTGCTGTGAATAAATTCCATACATTAGTCACTATGTATTCATTGTGGATGCTTTTAAGAACACAAAGGTGATCGCCAGACTGTGTAATGCCCTGTATTTGTAACCGAGTACTTACAATAGACTACGATTGCGACATATTTATATGACTGTCTACATTCTCTGTGTTTGAAAAATTGAAACTAAATCAAATATATAAATAATATATGTAGTATGAACAGTAATAGAATGTAAAAATCAACTGTAAGTGAATACAATAGAGCCTATATTTAAATGTATCATTAGTATGAACCGAGCTGGACTCATTACCTTGCCGTAAAACAGTTTTTAATAAAAACTAGCAAGGGCGGTAGTTTTGTTTCTTTGGTACTGGTAATGCCGTATGCTTAGTTTATTATGTACCCACTATAATTCTGCAAAATAAGGATTGTGAATTTGAATTTTGACTTATTCAGAAAACTGACCACTAGAAAAACGAGAAAAAAACTTGCGTGTTGTCCTTTTAAATAAGTCTAACTTTAAATTTTTAGATGGAATATGTGAATGCAAACTACCAACTACCCCCCGTCCTAAATGGAAAATAGAATCATAGAAATTTGCATGGCTGTGGACTATACCTTCTTAAATCTTTAAGAAGGTATAGTCCACAAATCATCTCGAGCTCAGTGTAGCGTCGCATGCAATGAAAAATATCCTTTGCACCGACATTCATATGATACAGACCGACAGGTACCTCGTGATAAATGTATTGGGGAGCGAATATGTGATCGTATCGATAGACAATAAAAAATCTATTAATATCTACTAACATTACAGTCATACATAGAATAAGAATAGAATAGAAAATCATTTATTCAAATAAACTTACATTGAAGCACTTTTGGTTAGGTCATCACATTTTTTTTAATCTACCGCTCATTCGGAAAACTGTCTCAAGGTCTCGAGCAAGAGACTTGTGTGTTGCTCTTTTAAATAATTTTATTCTTACTTTACAATTTAAGTTTAAGTATGTGAATACAAACTACCGATTAGCACTAATTCAATATTTAATTGATGAAATAGAAAAAATATTTCATTCAATAGAAACTGTAATAGCCGAAACTGTACATATTGTACTTTCTTCTTTTTCGGTATTGTATCCAAAACACTTAAAAATTATCAGCAAACACTAAATATTCATCCTAGTAAAACATACATACAAAATGCCACAACACTGAATACCTGCCGTATTATATAAGTTTAATTTCATTTCAATAAAATAAACGTACTAAACAAATGTATACATAAAAGAACAAGAGTAATTCCTGTACATGCTCCACGT